TTCTCGGTAGTGGCGCCTGCCCTGTGGAACGCCCTCCCATCAGATGTCAAAGAGATAAATAATTACTTGACATTCAGAAGACATCTTAAGGCAGCCCTGTTCAGGGAAGTTTTTAATATGTAACACTGTACTGTTTTTAACACTGATTGGGAGCCGCCCAGAGTGGCTGGGGAAACTCAGCCAGATGGGCGGGGTATAAATAAATTATTATTATTATTATTATTATTATTATTATTAAAAGCCCGATTATTTCAGAGGGATTTGGGATCAGAGTCGTTTGCGGCTGGACTTACCATAATTGTCAGGGGTCCCTTTACCTTTACCTATTTGTTCTTCAGTGTTCTGCTTTTTTAATTGTACTGATAGTTGATTGTTCTGTTTTTCAATTTATTTCATTTTACATTAATTTCTTGGGTGGGGGGTACCAGCTTTGCTCCTGAAAGTCAGGATATTTAGAGCTGGGCCTCCCCTAATTACCAGAGAGAGAGAACACACACATGTGAGGTGATCCCTTGAGGGTCTGTTTTCAGCCAGAAGGGTACAATAAACATTTGAGAGATGGGGAAGCAGGAATGATCTGCTAACATCTGCTACAGTTGTGGGATTATAAATTTTCATTCCCTGCTCTTCTTTTATCTGTTATATCAGGCATGTCCATCCGGTTGATTGCGATCTACCGGTCAATCACGGGGCGTCCCTGGTCAATCCTGGTCTATCGTGTGATCCTGAGTGATGGCCCCCCCCAATAAAAAAATTAAAAAGCTCAACAACTTAGGCGATTTCTCCCCCCAAAATAGCTCAGCAACTTTGTTGTTGTCTCCCCCAAAATAGTTCAGCAACTTTGCCCCCCCCAAAAAAAAGCTCAACAACTTTGGTCAATCCAATGGGTAGATCACTGCCAGTTTTTTTTATAGTGGGAGTAGATCACAGTCACTTGGGAATTGGACGTCCCTGTGTTATATCAACCATCTTATCATTCAAAAACGTCCCTATTCCCCATCCTCCTTTGTTTCATCTTCAACTCAACTTCCAGGTTTTACCTTATAAAATGTGAATGTTCCTCTTTTCCTTTCCTTCAAATCAGCTCATTTTCTCCTTCCTCATCTTCCAACTCATTTTCTCCTCTGCCTACGAATAAGGTACTGAGGTTGCGATACAGTACCCAATGCCATTGAACTGAATGGGGCTTCTGAGCAGACAGTCTAAGATTGTGCGACAAATGTCCTCTACAGGAATAAGAATTGGTGTAATGTGTAACCAGAAACTCTGGCCTTTACCAGAATTGTCTACCTATAAATCCCTGCCCATTTCCCCCTCCAAATCATGCAACACTAATTTTCTACTGTGCATATCCTTGCCAAGACAATTATATGGGATTCATTAATTTGTGTGATTTGTCTCTCATTTAACACATTAAATGAAAATGAATTATGAACTCCCATGTGGATTTCAGCAGAACACTGATGCCATTTTCCAATTAAGGCTAAGCCTATTCCTAGGAGAGTTTAATTCAAGAAACACATTTTTAAAGAGGAATGACACATGGGATTTGCTTTAATCCAGATCTAAAGACATTTTCCTTTATTGTTCCCCATACAGATTCTGTCATATCAAGTTGTTCTTTACCAGTGCCAAAAAAGAGACAATTCATAATAAGCAACAGTGGCTCAAAATCTCACTGTAGAGGGGAACAGCTGTGTCCACTACCTGCCACTACTTTAATCAACGAAAGCTTCAGGGGTTGTAAAATCTGGAAAAGCCACCCAGGATTTTCCCAAACCCCAGAGGTGGGGAGCATATTTCTGGTGCCTGGAGATATAGAAGCATCTTAACACAAATGAGCGTAATGTATGAAAAGAAAAGCTGACTTCTGGTTTTTCCTCATTCATCCATTATATTTTGGCGGCCAGAATGTTGCTACTGCACAGTATAATTAAAAAGCAAAGGGGGAAAAATCTATTTAGAGATCTAAGTCCTAATGTATTCCCCAGACTATGCAGCTCCTTCAACAAGTCTGGCTTTTTGTTTTGTTGTATTTTGCTTTTGGGGTCCAGTACAACTCTTACCAGGGACACGGGTGGTGCTGTGGGTAAAAGCCTCAGCGCCTAGGGCTTGCCGATCGAAAGGTCGGCGGTTCGAATCCCCGCGGCAGGGTGCGCTCCCGTTGTTCGGTCCCAGCGCCTGCCAACCTAGCAGTTCGAAAGCACTCCCGGGTGCAAGTAGATAAACAGGGACCGCTTACTAGCGGGAAGGTAAACAGTGTTTCCGTGTGCGGCTCTGGCTCGCCAGAGCAGCGATGTCACGCTGGCCACGTGACCCGGAAGTGTCTCCGGACAGCGCTGGCCCCCGGCCTCTTGAGTGAGATGGGTGCACAACCCTAGAGTCTGTCAAGACTGGCCCGTATGGGCAGGGGTACCTTTACCTTTACAACTCTTACAGCCTATGCATGCTTAATTAGAAGAAAATCCCAGCCATTATCATGGGACATGCTTCCAAGGAAGTGTGCACATATTGAGAATATTAAGGACAATAAGAACCACACCGCTGGATCCGGCCAATGGCCCATCTAGCTTAGCACCTTTTTCTCACAACGGCCAACCAGGTGAGCAGCACATTAGTACCACACAAAGAGTGATCCGCAGTCTCTGATGGGGTACCACATCCAATATTGGAAGTAGTACACAAAAGCATCATGACTTGTAGCTCCTGGCATCCTTATCCTACAAGGAAAATCTCTGTGCAGATTGTGCTGAGCAGGGGGCTTTAGTTCCACTTTTATTGCACACACATCCCCAGGGAGTTCAGGTACCGCACGTGCATTTTTTTTTCTCCCCGTTGTCTCTGTAAACAGGAGCAGGGACTGCCCCAAGGTCATGCAATGAGCTTTATGGTTGAGCAGAGATTTAAAACCTGCATCTGCCTGACCAATTTCAGCACTCCATCTCATAACGCCAACGCTGACTCTCCTGTACGTACTGCAGAGCTGTGGTGTTATTACGCAATAAAGCACAGCCATTTCAAAGCAGAGTTATGTAATGTTTGTGCTCTCTGCACAGTGACCAGCACGCTACTGGCACTGAAAGAATGTTCCAATAGAAAGAACAGGAGGGTTCTTTTAAAAGCATATTAATTCTAGTCTACTAGGTAAGAAAGAGTTACAGGTGGTGTACATTGACAGTGAATGAGAGGGACTGGATTAATGTAAAAAAAAATAATTCCTTCCAGTAGCACCTTAGAGACAACTACGTTTGTTATTGGTATGAGCTTTCGTGTGCATGCACACTTCCAACACGGCTACCTATCTGTAATGTACTAAGCATTAGCCTTGGGTGGAGGTTATTTAATTGGACCTCATTTTTAAAGCAACTAGAATTTTATCTCCTCTATAACATCATATAGGGGGACATCAGTGCCCACTTTGCACATGACCTTCAAAATTCCCAAAGGCCAGTCCTGCATGCAGGGCTAGAGTCAGGGCTTGCTTACAGCGACGCTCTACTAGCAGCTACAGTATTGTGAATGTCAGGACTATATGCCTGTGAAGACATGCAGGGATTATATATCCCTGAAATGGGTGCCCTCATCCACTTGCAAATAGGGAGCAGGATTTGGGTCAAAAATGGGATTTCTAGGGTGGCTGGAGCACCTCTCGTTTTAGAAAAGAATCACTGCTTTCCTTTAAGGGCTTACCACTACACTGTGCTTCACAGTCCCACAGAATAGGAGGTAGACAACTTACCAAAGGCTTCACTGCCATTTAAAAAAACCACCAGTCTTAAGATACCTTAAACACCAACAAATATAGTGTGGCATAAAATATGTTGCTGTAGTGTTATTCTACCTGTACTTTTCTTGATTGTCTATTTCATACCTAACTTTGTTTTATTTAAATAAAAGTGTTAAAATAAAATTTCGTGGACCAGTACAACCCACTTCATCCGATGCATTAAGTGCTCTCAGTTGCCAGTCGGATAAACACACAAACACACACACACACAGGCACGTGGGGAAAACTTACACACCAAAGATCAAGCAGTGCAAGGGGTAAAGTCTGCATTTTTTAATGCAAAGCTGCAAAGGCATGAGTGCGGCATCTGGCAGCGGAAACCTCTTACGAGGATCACGGTGGATCCAGGAGAGCATCTGAGAGGAGGAGGCGCATCTGAGGGCGGAGGGGGCTCCGCTTGGAATGCGGTTCCAATGGGGCTTTGGCTCCACCCCGGAGCCTCCACGCCCAGACCACGAGGGCTGCTGGCACAGGCTGGCTAGAGCACTTGGGGACGTCTTCCCGCATGCAGACGTGCAGGACGTGACAGAGGGGCAGACCGGAAGTGCCGGCTGCAATTACCAAGAAATACACGCGCTCACCTCGTGGTTGAGCCGGGGAGAGAGAGAGCGGAGCACTTGCTCTAGTATAGTATTGCCTTCCCTGCCGAGAAAGCGCGCGTAGCCTCAGCCATCTGTAGGAGGGGAAAATCAACGCACACATTCTCCCTCGAAACCGATTTTAAGATCGTTATCTCGATAGCGCAAAACCTGCTTCAGAACCAGCAAACAGGCACGCGGATGCAACGCTTGGCAATATCTAATTGGGGTCAAGTTATAATTAAACAGCCAAACAGGAACAACTCTGTCCGATCATCAGCTATATGCCGTTACCAACCCCGGAGCCGTTAAGTGCTCACATAATAAGGCTATTTAGAGGAGAAAAGTCGCGTGGGGGGGGGGGAGACGACTCCTCTCCCTTATAATAATCCAAGCACCATTGGTCGATCTGAAGGAAATCAAATTATTCTGTTACCCCCTCTGGCTGTTAAGAAAGTAAGGCGCAAGCCTCTGAAAGTTTAATGGCTTTGCAGCCAAGACGACCCACGCGCCTTTTTTTAATATCTGCTCTAGATGGCGTTTCCAACAAGAACACCGCCGTTATACATTTAAATGCTTTATAACCCTTATGATTCAATCCATTTATATGAAAGGAGGGAGAGAACTGAACTCACTGCTTTTAGGAGCCGTGCTCTTAACGGGCCGAAGCAAATTCAGTGAGGACGCTTTTTAAATTCAGCCTCCCGGGCTCTTCAGTTTGGGTAGCGTAACGCGATGGATCAGACTGTCAGAATACAGAACATCCCCGAGCTCCATGGTCCATTCCACAGAATACATAGAAGGCGGCTTCCCAAACTGCCACCGGGCGTCTTATTTTTCAAATGTTGATCTGGCAACAGCGGTTGCCTAAGGTCATCTGCAGCCAACCCTGCCTCGCCTTTACTTCTTGTTGCAACTGCACCGACTAAGCGACCAATGGCTACTTTTAGAATATAATATTCCTCTTGGCGAGAGCTGCCCATGGAGAGCGAGAGAGCACGTGCACAATAAAAGGCCGGAAACAAGCGCATTACTGCCTTGTGAGACGTTTTCACAAGCTTCTCCACCCCCCACCCCTTTATTCCCCCAATTCTCCTTGCCTGCAATCTGAATATAAAACCTACACACAGTTTTTAAAAACAAAAACAAATACACGCCCTTTAGATTGCACATTAACATTTACAAGCAGCACTGTCCCTGTGTATTAAAAAAAGGCGTTCTTTTCAACGTTGGTTAAAAACACATACGCATATGCAGGCTGTACTCTTGACACCTCTCTCTGGGTTGATCATAGCCATCAGATTGTAGCACTTGGCAAAGAAGTCGCATGTACTGATGCAGCCAAGTAGCTTCCCCTCAGTCCTCATTCACACAAGCGCATATTTACAAATCAACACACAAATACAGGGTAACCTTACCAACTGAAAATGGAGGAAAAGCAGGCTCCAGAAATGTGCTTCTGCTCCCCAGCCTGTTGCCTAGAAACAAAAGACGGAACAAATGGGGATGGGATGTAGCATTCACTTCAGGTTGACTCAGTTGTGAGTTGTTCCTGAGGGCGTGCTTGACATCCTGCCTCTCACTATACATTGGACCCGTAAATCACATGAAACAGCTCAGGCCTATTGCTTTCTCTTAACTCAAGTGCTCTCCCCATGTAGGTAGGAACAAAAGAAGTTGTGGCTTGAGTATGCAAAGTAGTTTGTTCACCCTCCTCTTTCCTGCCTTTGCAGTACTATATCAGGAAGTAAAAATATAATGCCCTGCTGCTGTTTTGCATCATTTGGGCCATTTTAATAAAATAAAGCAAATTCTTAATTAATATTCCTATCATAGCAGTATCACCCGTAACTTTAACCTACATTGGCAATAAGATCCATAGCTAGATAACATGACTTCTTTAAAAGAAAAGAATGAAGAGCACAGAGAAGACAACAAAGGAAGTGCTGTAATCCTTTTTCAAAAGAACTTATTGAAAATCTTTCCATATTTCACTTAGACTTGTCAACAGGTTTCAATTATATCCTAGGTGATTATCCATTTTTTGTTCAAGTTTTTGTTCATGCTTATTCTGTGGCAGAATCCCAACGGCCAATTTAATATCACAGACTGACCCTCTCTGTTCTTTGTTGATAAGAAGTTAAAGCCAATATTATACCATTAGCTTATAATATAAATATAATAATCTACACAAATCAATCACACTTGAAGTACAATTCTGGTCACCTCACTTGAAAAAGGATATTGTGGAGCTGGAAGATGTTCAGAAAAGGGCAAACAAAATCATCACGGAGTTGGAGCAACTCCTCTATGAAGCTGTTTAGAGAAAACTATATATGAGGAGATATGATAGCAGTGTGTAAATTATGCATGGTGTTCTGGTGTGCCATCTGGAGTGGGGCGAGGGTCCCCCCCCCCGATGAATTTTCAAGGAGGAGGCGTGCTTCCGTCACATGGCCCCAGCTCCCTCAATTGCAGGGGCAAGGTGGCATGTCTGATGGTGCTGAAAACGTGGATAAGGAAAAGTTCTCATGGACCTCTCATAACTCTTGAACAGCGGTCAGCAAACCTTTCCAGCAGGGGGCCAGTCCACTGTCCCTCAGACCTTGTGGGGGGCCAGACTATATTTTGAAAAGGAAAAGGGGGAAAAATGAACAAATTCCTATGCCTCACAAATAACCCAGAGATGCATTTTAAATAAAAGTACACATTCTACTCACGTAAAAAGACCAGGCAAGCCCCATAAATAACCCAGAGATGCATTTTAAATAAAAGGACACATTCTATTCATGTAAAAACACGCTGATTCCTAGATCGTCTGCAGGCCAGATTTAGAAGGCGATTGGGCCGGATCCGGCCCCCGGGCCTTAGTTTGCCTACCCATGCCTCTTGAACATGTGGGTAGCCGATGGTGCTGAATATTGGAAGATTCAAGATAGACCAAAGAAAGCCCTTCTTCACACAATGCACAGTTAAACTATGGAATTTGCTCACACAAGAGGCAGTGATGGTCGCCAACTTGGAAGGCTTTAAAGATTAGACCAATTCAAAAAGCAGACAAACGAACCATGCTGACTATGTTCCAGCTCCACAGTCAGAGGCAGCATGCCTCCATATGCCAGTGGATGGGGAACTGCAGGTGGGGGTGGGGGTGGGGAGGGAGTGCTGTTCTGGTCAAGTTTGGCTTGCAAGCTTTTCATGGACATCTGCCTGAGCTGGCCACTGTGAGAACAGGATGCTGGGTTAGATAAGCCATTGGCCTGATCCAGCAGGCTCATTTTATGTCCGTAAGTATAGAGCTGCTCAATAATAAAAACAGAAGAAACAACATTAAAGGAGAAGGCAAATATTAATTAATTTAGGGGCCACATGACTGAGCCTAGTGCAGGTTTCTTCCGATTGTTTTCTTTTTATAAGATCAGATGTATGGTAAAGGGGTAAAGGGACCCCTGACCATTAGGTCCAGTCGTGGCCGACTCTGGGATTGCGGCACTCATCTCGCTTTATTGGCTGAGGGAGCCAGGTACAGCTTCCAGGTCATGTGGCCAGCATGACTAAGCCGCTTCTGGCGAACCAGAGCAGCGCACGGAAACGCCGTTTACCTTCCCGCTGTAGTGGTACCTATTTATCTACTTGCACTTTGACATGCTTTTGAACTGCTAGGTTGGCAGGAGCAGAGACCGAGCAACGGGAGCTCACCCCGTCACGGGGATTTGAACCGCCGACCTTCTGATCAGCAAGTCCTGGGCTCTGTGGTTTAACCCACAGCGCCACCCGCTTCCCTAAGATCAGATATAATCTTCCACAAATGAGCATTGTGGGGATGGGCTTCCTAACCTGCTCCCCACTAGTCTTTTTGCTGTTAAAAAATTCTCTCAAGTTGCTTTATGCCCTGCAGGAGGAATGATACAGGAGGCAAGTTTGGGAAGGTAGTTCTAAGCAACAAAAAAACCACAACCCTACTCAAATGGAAAAGGGTTATCAAGTACAGGTACTTGCCTCTACAACAACTTAAGAGGTTTGCTAAGGGCAAAATACTACGTGACACCATTCAGGAAGTCAGGCCGCTCTTTGTTTCATATATTAACTTTCAGAACCCAGACACGCCCACAATCACACTCACATATGTCCTTCTGGAGACACTCCCTAGCCTAAACTGCATATTTACCACGTATAAAATAAAACATTAGTTTGTACATTGAAGGTGACTCCTGCATGTAATGAAGTGCTAAAGAATGGCTAACACAAAGTGGCTATATGTAACACTGATGGTTATATGTTTGTGTGTTTCTTTAGGGTTGTTATATTGGGTGTTCTATTTGTGCTTAATAGGAAAAATCCAATTTGTTCAGGACTGCAGACTTAATTTCCCAAATGAGAAGTGGTCACTGCATGCTAAACTAAGGAACAGAGTATTTATTTACCTTATTTTCAAAAGCTGGAGAATGCCAGAGGCGGGATATAGGTAATCTTCCAATGAAATAGCCCACGGCTTTCAGCTACAGCCCATCACCACTCAGTAGAGAATGGTGTCCCACTGCCAGTGTCAAAATACAATTCTGACTACCAGTCTAGTCAGCGTTTGTTCATGGAATGGAGGAAGATACTATCTTGTCCTTAGTCTCAGGTAACAAAAGATTCCTTGCTGCTATACTTCTGCTATGAACCCAAGGTGGAGAACCTGTGGCCTTCTGGGTGCGGTTGACTAAAACTCTCCTTGCTTACCTAGTGTGGGTTTTAGTAATATTTTGCAGATTTAAATTAATATTGCATGGCTTTATTGGGTTTTTAAAAATTCTTTTGTGAATTACTCCATGTGACACATTGTCTAGTGTTTTCTGAAACTTATGCTTTAAATGCGGTCTCTCTTTTTTAAGAATAAGTAAAAAAGAATCACCCCTAGCCAACATGACCAATAGTTAGGGATGAGGGGAGCTGCAGTTCGACAACATATTGTGGGCCACAGGTGAGGTTTCCCACTTCTGAGGTAGACATTTCATCACTTAACTTGGTTATTTGGGGGGGGGTGTCCTGTTGTCAGACTTTTATAGTATTCAAGGTGTCTGGAAATACATGTGTACCAATTTTCCCCCTTTTTTGTTGTTGTTTATGGGATATCCCAGTTATGGGATAACTGTGCCCTGGGATTGAATAAAACCTGTGGAAGGGTGAATGGATACATAGTTTTCACCTTTTAGTGTACAAAATGCCTTGCAGGTCTTTTCTAATATTGGGTGACACCCAGTGATGTCTGCCAGCTTCTACAATGGAAATCTGGTTGCACAATGGGACTTCTGGTTTCTCTCTGCCAGCTTCCCCCAAAATCTGCTCTGTAGGGTCCCCCAACCCCAGATTATGCAGGTGCAGGGAGGAGGAGATAAAGGAGAAGCTCTGTTGCCCACTGTTGCTACGCTGGATTCACAAAAAGGACCATAGCATATGCTAGGATGAAACACAGTAACTCCTCCTCACCATGCTGAGGAGGAATTCAAACTGAGGGCTCACAGGCCCAAGCCCATTATAATAACACTGGTCTCTCCCCTATAACTTGATGCTATCTGCTACTCTGTCTGACATTCACTTGACCACAGCACTGCTAATTTGTGAGCTTCACTTCCTGATTAGCAAAGCCGACTTTCCACTACAGCGTTTCCACAATTAATTCTAATTCAAACTGAAATCTGTGTAGAGAGGGGGGAAAAGACATTTGGTCCATCTCCCACAGAGGCATTATTTGGCAGCTTTGTATTCTGAGGCCAGAGCCTGGTCCACCTCTGCAGGGACATCACTTCATAGATGTCAAAAGAAACCTTTGCCTCTGCCACTGGTGACCTTTGTTATTTACCAGAGGTTAATCCTCCCCTGCTCCACTTCCATCCTCTTTCAACATCCCCCTTCTCTTGAAGCAAACATGTGGTTCTTCTGCCATCCCCCGCCCTGCAATCTGCCCTTTTGGTCCTGTTTGATAACAGGTTCCATCAACCTACTCCTCAAATCTCCTCAGTTGCTTCCTTCTCTTTCTCTTACAGCATATCCTCAGGCTTTTACTGAGTGATATTTACACACACACACATATATGAAATTTTCTCCGTGCTGAAAAGCAATCCACACACAGAATTTCAATAATCTTTACAACAGAAACAAAAAGTTATATTTATGGGGGTGCTAAAAGGGAATGACTTAACAAAATGTCCCAGTGGCTTCCTGGCTTAGCTAAGATTCATGCTAAAGAGGTATGGGTTTCATCAGCAGGTGGGTTAGGGAGGCAGACTGGGAACCCTGTGTACACTGCATTGTGTTCCAAGATGGAGGAAAGGCGGAGTGCAATGTACTAATCAATACAATGCAGAAATAATTTTTGTTAACTTAAAAACTGATAATGGAGTATGCCACAAGCAGAAAGAGAAGACAACCAAAGCATTGTGTGGGAAGAGATTGTGGGGGAAGGAATATGTGTAGCCAGATCAATTCAGGTGTTTCAAGCAACAAATACACTATCACATGGTGCAGAACCTCAGATGCTTCCGGAAGAGTAAGCAATTACCAGGAGGGTGGGGAAATAGAGATTCCTCCATATCTCAACATTAATTACCGGTAGTTAGACCTTGGAAGGCCAGTTGGTAGACCACCCATTCCAGATCTAGACCTGCAGCGCATGAAACTGGAGAGTCGTTCCCAGTGTCTGATTCTCCTCTGCCACCTCCCCAACTCCAAAATTCCTTCTTCTGGAAATTTGCCAAAGCCCAGCTGTAGGAATCATTATAAGATTCCCCCGCCTTCCAAAAAATTACTTTGTGTGTGATTGAGTCAATGCAATTAGAGGGGGAGTTGCAGTTAGCAATAACATTTTTTAAACCTGCCCCAAGCCCTTGGGATGAGGTGGGATGTACATGGAATAAACTGAATTATTAAATAATTAAGCAATTAATTATTAGTTCAGCTTCATCCCAAGGAGATCACTTCTGCAATTAAAAGGTGGGTTTGAAATGTCCCATGGGACCTTTTGTTTTATCACATTGGTATAGGTAAAGGTAAAGGGACCCCTGACCATCAGGTCCAGTCGCGGACGACTCTGGGGTTGTGGCGCTCATCTCGCTTTACTGGCCAAGAGAGCTGGTGTTTGTCCGCAGACAGCTTCCGGGTCACGTGGCCAGCATGACAAAGCCACTTCTGGCAAACCAGAGCAGCGCACAGAAGCGCCATTTACCTTCCCGCTGGAGTGGTACCTATTTATCTACTTGCACTTTGACGTGCTTTTGAACTGCTAGGTTGGCAGGAGCTGGGACTGAGCAACGGGAGCTCCCCCCGTCGTGGGGATTCAGACCACCAACCCTAGGCTCTGTGGTTTAGACCACAGCGCCACCCACGTCCCATCACATTGGTATAGTATAGTGAAATAAATTAATGACATATATTTACAAATTGTATATCCTGATAGTGTCAACAAATGAAATAAATGCACATACACACATGTTCTGGACCACTAAACCTGCAATGTAAAGAATGGGGCTTGTGTGGCAAGGAAGGCAGCTAGGCTCCCTGGACTGATCATCATTGCCACCACCCCAACACCCATCAAGACTCCTCAGCTCTTAACTTGAGTATGAAATGCAAAGCCCCTTCATGACCACCCAGCCCAAAAGGCTTTTTTTAAAAAAAGCAATTTAGCACTTAATTCAACTGCTCTCCTTTCTTTCATGAGAAAGAGGATGAGTAACCAATCATTGCAATGACTAAAAAACATTCCAATTGTTCTTTTTTAAAAAAAAAACACCCCTTACCATCTGGTATGGGGTGTGTTTTATACTACATGCAGATGATGCTTAACTACCAGGATTGAAAACTCAAAATTCAGCCTGGAACTGAAAACCAGGCAGTGTCCTCCTTACTGGCTTCATGCATAATTGCCTGCAGGCTTTTCTGCTCCGGTGGACACATTGGGGGTGGGGGGAGGCTGTTTCCTAGCAGTTGAGTGCACAGATCCATCAGATAGGCCAGAAAGCCATTATTTGCGTTACTAGCTTTGCACTTTTTTCATTGAAAGCATCCAAAAAAAGGAAGCTGCTGTTTGCTACTGTGCGGGAGTCATCGTGACTATATATCCAAACTCATGCCTTCAGCTCTAGAGAGTAAGAATTCAGTCCCTCGTGCCCCAAACTGGCAATACAAAGGTCATTTAATACCTCCATTTAATTGCTCCCGTCCTACGAATCTCCATGCCAGATGAGTAAAGGCCCACATGTCCGTGATCACTCTGAGCTTACCGGATTGTGCCACTTACGAAGCTCAAGTTACTCACGTGCACAAATGTTTGCATAGCATTGATCAGAGCTGAAGTCATGGGGAGAACCGAATACTCCCTGGGAGAAGATCTACTGATGGCGGTGTCATTTTACAGCCAGAGTAGAACTGCACTTTAGATGATGCCACAAGCTATGTAAGTCTACCTCTTGAGAATTTCCCCTCCAGGAGAAGCAGCCTGTGTTATATACTGTACAGGGCATGGAAGTTGGGGAACCACATTAACAGCCCCAAACCCAGCGGGTCCTAGCTACCTACTAGACCCTTCCTCATGCTGTCAAACCACTTTGGTGGTTTGGCAAACTGCTTAGAGAATGTTTTGAGTATTAAAGCAGTATAATAAATAAATGAAAAGCAAGAACACTGCAGTACCAGCTTCATAACTGATTCAGTGTAGTGTAGTGGTTAAAATGTTGGACTGGGACCTGGGAGACCAAAGGTTCAAATCCCCATTCATCCATCTGGGTGACCTTGGGCCAGGGAAGGGGGGATATAAATGTGATAAATAAATAAATAATAATCTACAGCTTCACATTTTTACTGTCATTTTATTTAGAGTTATTCTCCTTTCTATTATTATTTATCGTTATCATTATAGTTGACAGGAAAGCTTAGTTAATTGTTGATCTATAGTCTTTGTAAGCGGGTGGCGGGTGGCGCTGTGGGTAAAACCTCAGTGCCTAGCACTTGCCGATCGTATGGTCGGCGGTTCGAATCCCCGCGGCGGGGTGCGCTCCCGTTGCTCGGTCCCAGCTCCTGCCCACCTAGCAGTTGGAAAGCACTCCTAAGTGCAAGTAGATAAATAGGGACCGCTTTATAGCGGGAAGGTAAACGGCGTTTCCGTGTGCTGCGCTGGTGCTGGCTTGCCAGCTGCAGCTTTGTCATGCTGGCCACGTGACCCGGAAGTGTCTTTGGACGGTGCCGGCTCACGGCCTCTAGAGCGAGATGAGCACGCAACCCCAGAGTCGGACACGACTGGCCCGTACGGGCAGGGGTACCTTTACCTTTTATAGTCTTTGTAAAGGGCTCAGAAATATGTTAGTTAACCCAAACACCAAATCTGGCTTCATACTGGGTCCTCAGATTGCTATTCCACAACCCTATCATAGTAAATATACGCACTTATTTTGAAATATAAATACCCTTCGCCACAGTGGGCTTTCCAAGTGAATAATGGAGGATGTAGCTGCAGCACTACCTAATTATTGTCATATGCAGCTAAAAAAATCAGATGCCATCAGTACTTCAAATAGAAAAATAAAAGGGTATAAACACAGATGTCAGACTTGATCTTGCTTAATAGAGAAATGTCGCTGTCGCAATTCAAGAACCAGTCAAACAGCACAGGCAGATATAAGCAGCTTCGCCTTTGTGTTCTTTACAATTTCGTATTTTTTTTAATTAACATACCAAAGCAAAAAAGCAGCAAAATAAGAAAGAAGTACAATCATGCCCATATCATTTGTTTACAATATCTATGCCCAAGGAGGCGCAGTATTTCAATTCCAAGCAAATGCCCTAGATCCGTCAAAAAACATTGGATTAAATTAGATCAGTAACTGGGCACTGGCTGGAGGAGCCAATCAGGCCCAAGCTGACTACAGAGATGGGCTGAGATTGATTCCTACAGATAAATGAAGTTTTAAGGGAATCATTTACCATAGCTGGGACTGTGTGTACAGAGAAAAAGCACCTTGGAATCCTATCCAAGGATATGGAATGGATACAAGTGCAGGTGAGCGGAGGACCATCTAAACACCAGAACCATACACCAACCAGAACGCCATCTAGAACCAGAACTCCTTTTCAAATGGCACAATTCAGGTTGGAAACAACAGCACAGAGCAGGGTACCTCTGAGGGACAAAAGCGTTCTCACACAGCCCACCTGGATCATCTGGGAGTGGGGAAATGGGTTTCAGGGTAAGCCTTCCAAGTCTCTTGCTGATTTGAGCCGGATAATCTCTGACCCTAGAGATTAAACGTTACCCATCTTCCCCTTGCCCAGCCTCTCCCCTGATAAACAGGCGCGCGCGAGGTTTGCTCCTTGTTTCCCAGCCCAGTTCCTTCCCTCCCTGTCTGTCATCCCTTCACGAGCATTTAAATCCCTGTGACATTTAAGGAAACTGGATCTCGTTGGAGACCCAGCCTCCCCTCCTCATCTCACGCGGTGCGCCCAGAAATCGAGTGCTCCTGTGACCCAGCCGAGCATCGTCACCAACTAGAGATCTCTCTCTAGGCCTTGTTCTGGGGTGTTTGCTGATGTTTAGAAAGGCGCAAACACCTCTCAGCACCCTCCTGGTAGGAGAAGAGCCGGACTCCTTGTGATGCCCCTGGCTCGGGTTCCGAGTCGGTCTCGCTGAAACAGGGAGGGAGATGCGCTCAGGAAGAGAGAGGCGGGTGGATTGATCGCCTGTTTTAAAAAGGCTGTCTAAAAGCCTCGATGAGACTGGCTTTCGCTTGATCCCGACACAAGCATCTCTCCTGGGCAAATCTCACTTGGCCACGGAGCTCCTTGGGTCAAGGATGCGCGGGAGAGAAATGAATGAACTTCTCCAAGAGGAGGAGAAGCCGGAGCCAGACCGCTCAGGGTGGCCAGGACGCCTGGCGCTAGCAGGGGAGTCCTTGGGGATCATGAGGACCAGCCTCTTGGAGCCGCGGTCACCGCGACATGGGCTAGGAGAGGGAGGGGGCGATCGTGGAGATGCTGTTGCTGGGGAAATGAGGGCAACTGGACGATACGGTGCCCAAAGGAGCTATGCCTGAGCCTTACGGACGTCTGTCTGTGGGATGCGCCCCCGCCGACGCGCAGACCTCCGGCTTTCACTTCCCCACCCTCCTGTTGAGCGCAGACAGCCGCCTACTTCCCCCCCTGCTCTGATGCTCCCTCCGAGGCCGGCCGCGAGAGAAGGGGGCAGCGATGGGGCGCGGGGGACCAGCCCTGAGTCATGCACAGCTTCGTCAACACCGAGCCCGCTAGGCGAGAGTCTCTCCGCCCGCTCGGCGCCTCCATCTCCCTCCGCCAGCGCTGGAGAGGAGACCCGGCGCCGCTCCTTCCCAGCCTTAAGCCAGCCCTCGCCTCCGACGCGCCCAGATGCGAGCAGGTGCAGCCGAGCGGCAGACCCCGGCGGGCCAGGAGAGCGCGCGGCGCACCGATGTGCCCCCCGAGCGCCACCTGCCAGAGCCCCTTCGGGCGGGCGGTCCCTAGAGCGCGCGCTCCGCAGCAGCATCTCCCCGCCAAGCACAGCTCGCTTACCTGGGCTGGGCTGGGCGGCAGGTTCGGGCGTGGCTGCGTCCCCGGGCGCGGCGGGTTCGGTGGCGCGGCTCCCTGCCGTCCTGGGGCGATACTGTAGCGCCTGTAGCTCGAGAGCCGCGCAGCCAGCTCGGCGAGAGAGCGCGTCAGAGAGGCCGAGGGAGCCAAGCCGGGGCCAGGCCAGGCGGGTCCTAGCGCCTCCCACGGGCCGCTCTCCGAGGGGGCGGGGGCCGAGCGAGCGGCAGCGTGGTCGGTGGGAGCACGTGGGCCGCGACTCCTCCGCCGAGGCGAGACGGGAAAGAGGAGCTGTGAGCAAGAAGACCCAGGGGTAACATGGCGAAAAAGCAGAACTCGGTCTGCCCCCTGGAGCAGGGTGGGAACTCAGGCAGCTGATAGGTGGGCAATGCGATCAGGATCAGAGGAGCGGGGGGCTAGGGATCCGGAGAAACTTCACTAACGTGTGACCCTGAAATTCTGGATCCCGCCAAAGTTTTGTGCTGCGAACTCCGCATTTGTGCAAAGGGCCAAAACCCTTTACAAGTACAGTGGTACCTCGGGTTAAGAACTTAATTCCATCTGGAGGTCCGTCCTTAACCTGAAACTGTTCTTAACCTGAAGCACCACTTAAGCTAATAGGGTCTCCCACTGCCACCGCCGCGCATTTTCTGTTCTCATCCTGAAGCAAAGTTCTTAACCCGAGGTACTATTTCTGGGTTAGCGGAGTCTGTAACCTGAAGCGTCTGTAACCCGAGGTGCCACTGTAAAGGGCCAAAAATCCAACCTCATCCTATTTGACTCCAAACCAGTGCCAAAGTGCTCTGCTGGTTTTGTGCCTTCGCAAACCTCCCTTTCTGTGCCCCCCAACTGAGTAATTGACGCTCAGTCACTGCATATAGACACGGATATGGCGATGCAGTAAGTGGAGAGGTGTATAACACAGTGTATTACACCAGAACCAGAGGCACCATAGATCAGGGGGCAGGACAGAACCATAGGCACCAGATTGGTTCAAAACCACAGCCAGAATGACCTTGACTTACAGAACAGGGTTTGAAAATTTAGGTATAACATTTAGGAAACATCCGAAGGCAGCCCTGTATAGGGAAGCTTTTTAAGGTTTGATGTTTTACTATTTTGTTATATATGCTGGAAGCCACCCAGATTGTCCAGTCAGATGGGTGGGGTACAAATAAATTATTATTAATATTATCTTTATCATTATTAGCATCATCATTATTAACTACAAGCCAGAAATGGAGCAAGCGAAAAACAGAAGCAGAGAAATCTGGACCTTGGTCGGGCACAGTGCTAAGGGAATTCAGTGTAACAATGAGAATAGTAGGACCTTCTTGATCTAGGACCAGACAAAGCTCAAGCACCGGGGCAGTTTCAGAACCAGAAGCTAAAGGGAGTCATGCCTAGCTATCTATCACCAGGTTGCCTAAGGTAAGACAGTCAAAGTTCTCAAGTCAGCTTTTGGTCAAGAACTGAGCGGATTTCAGGTTTATCCAGGATGCTACCCAATTAATGTGTGACGACCCAGAACTGTATGGAATTAGGATTATATACCCAGGACCCAGGATTCAGGGCAGAGAAATGAAAACTTCTTCATACACCACATAGTTTAAACTATAGAATTTGCTCTCCCACAAGAGGCAGTGATGCTGGCCACTAACATGGATGGCTTTAAAAGAGGATTAGCTGAGTTAATGGAGGATAAGGCTGCCAATTACTACTAGCCGTAATAATAGCTATGCTCGGTCTCTATGGTTGGAGGGCAGTAATGCTTCTGAATACCAGTTGCTGGAAACTGCAGGAGGGGAGAGTGTCATTGTGCTCAGGTCTTGCTTGTGGGTTTCCCACAGACATCTGGTTGGCCACTGTGAGAAAAGGATGCTGATCCACAGCGGTTCTTACGTTCTTAAGACCCGTGAAAAGCTTTCTCAGCAGTTTTAGACCAACAAATGTGATTTGCAGAGCCAACACATATACAACGTAATGACATTATTTGGCCTTTCCCTCCTACTCTGTAACTCCATAGTGGACTCCTCTTTCCTTGAATTAAGGAGTTTTTGAACACCACCCAGACAGGGAGAGGATATTTCTCCTTATATTTAGCTTCCCTTCAGCTTCTTATTTGTCTGAAATCAAGTACCAATGAACTATCCCTATTCCATTTCACTTGCAAAAGCTTAAGGTGTGCAGAATTCACCAGCCTTTAACCAACAACAGTAACTGATCAATATAACCGTATATCAAACCAAACCAAACATACTGATTGAAAGGGAAATTTGGAAGATTTTAGGGCAGGCATTTACATTTTGGCAGCTCTGGCATTGCTGAGCATGTCTGCGGACCATCAAGTGTAGTCTCACTTGAAAGACTTGACATATTTTTTCGCAGCAAGAGACAGGGACATGCAGGAGACATTCAAGAGGTTTCTTCCACTGACTGACTAGTGTAATGAGGCATTCTCCCTGGTGGAGAAATTGATAAATCAAGTGTCTGTCGCCAGAGGACCAAACTGAGACAGGCTAATTTTTTGAAACTCGGTACAGTTTTATTGGATTCATTAATGTTAGCATCTCGGATCAAAGAGCACCACAGACCGAAAGATATAGAGGAACTTGATTTGCCTGATCTTTAGTGTCTTCAGGGTGTGTGTGAGCAAGTGCAAGCATGCCCCAGTCTCTATGCAAGGTCAGATACCTGCTTGTACAGTAAAGTTCTCTTAATTGCTAGTCACATACATATTTGAATGATTTTCAGCTCATTTGTATGTTAATCAGAGTGTTTTGTAGTTACATATAGATTTGCTGTCCATGGCTTGCTTTCCTTCTTCACCCTTATTGCATGCATGCATTTATCACATGCATATGCCGCCCTGAATTTCACACCTTGAACTAAATTCCAGGCCAGGGCTCTGTCCATTCATCTCTCTGCTAGGCTCCAGTACCATAGGTTCCTCTGCCAGCTTCCATAACTGCGTCCCTTTGCCCTCTTGTGTCACCCAAGGCTATTTTGGATGGCAGTGCTTGCTTTCCTCTCCTGTCACTGCTTATCTCTTAATAGGGCACTTGTGCATAGCAGTCCAGGATGCCTTTCTCCTCCCTCAGAGCTTTGCTGACATTTCTCTTGGCCAGTCCAGCCAGTTCACATTCTCCCTCCGCTGCTTCTGGCACCCAGCAAACTCCCCTACTTTTAGACCTCACTTTAAAAATTGTGCCCCAAAAAACCAAGGGCATCATCACATCTCAGTCAAAATCCCCCTCAACAGACCCCCACCTCCCAGGGCTGCATCCACAATCTGCTTTTAAAAATGTCAATTCCATCAGAATTCAATACCACAGCAGCAGCAGCATACATTAAATGGGTGAAAAGTGCGACCTGCTTCTGTAGCTCTGTTAAGATATCCGTTCTTAACCATTTCGAGCTTGAATGGGACAAAGAAAAAAAATGGCTCCTTTGTTCCAAGAAACCTACTGAATAGCTTCCCAGCCCTGTGTGGGTGAAGGGTGTCAGAAGTGGTACTGTGTGGGCCGCTCTAAGGCCTGATAAGAACTTCCCTGGATCTTATGACACTTCCGTCTGAACTGTGATATATACATACATACATACATACATACATACATACAGTGGTACCTCGGGTTACATATGCTTCAGGTTACATACGCTTCAGGTTAGAGACTCCGCTAACCCAGAAATAGTGCTTCAGGTTAAGAACTTTGCTTCAGGATGAGAACAGAAATCGTGCTCCGGCGGCGCGGCAGCAGCAGGAGGCCCCATTAACTAAAGTGGTCTTCAGGTTAAGAACAGTTTCAGGTTAAGTATGTACCTCTGGAATGAATTAATACCACACTTTTTCATTACTGTGTAATTATGTGCTCATTAATGACACATAACTATCCATAATTCTCTTTTATTAAGATGGGTACAAATGGGGATAGGGAGACCATTTCAGCCTAAGGGCCACTCTCTCCTGTGGCCAGATTTCTGGGTTCTGCACATCACTGGTGGGTAGGGCTAGAGGGAAAATGGGTGGAGCGGGGCACTTCTTGTGCACCCAGGGGCGGGGCTAGGTGCCTGTGGGGGTGGCGCCCGTGGCGAGCATCCCAGGGGGTTGACGGCAATGTCACCCCCCTCAGGGATGACCCTTGGTTTAGGCCGCACCGACCGCACCCCCCTTCCTCTGCCAGTGGGTGGAGCAACAGATACAACTCTTACATTTTTTTTACATAGTACATCACATACAATTTCCAGCTTTGTTAATTTAACAACAGTCTGGTTTCTCTATTTCTGTTTTCCACCCATGTAGGAACTTCTGTGTTCTTAAGGTTGGACACAGATCTGGGTAACAACTGGATATAATATAAGGGATCAACCATTTGTACATTTCTTCATCCCAGCAGTCCTGGGCTCAGCCTGAAACCTGCAGAGCAGCACCTAATGTTATGGTCCGTTCCTTCCTCCCATCTTCTTGATTAAATCCAGATTCCATGGCTTCCACATCCAAGAGCCTTTTTTTCTTGCTGCCCTTCCCCTTGCTTTCTTTACTATCTCCTCTGGTGGAGAGTTTTGAAGAACTCAAAAGCTTGCATAGTATTACATGCCATTTTGGTTGTCTTAATAAAGTCACTGCTCTAATGTAGGCTTTGTAGTTTTTCTTACAGGCCACCATGGCTACTTTTGCTTTCTAATAAAGTTCCCCACCTTAGGTGTAGATTCATCTAATACAGTGGTACCTCAGGTTAAGTACTTAATTCATTCCTAAGGTCCTTTTTTAACGTGAAACTGTTCTTAACCTGAAGCACCACTTTAGCTAATGGGGCCTCCTGCTGCTGCCATGCTGCCGGAGCACGATTTCTGTTCTCATCCTGAAGCAAAGTTCTTAACCTGAGGTACTATTTCTGGGTTAGCAGAGTCTGTAACCTGAAGCGTATGTAACCCGAGGTACCACTGTATTAGAATCCTAAAATCATAGAATTGTACAGTTGGAAGGGATCCCAAGGGTTATTTAGTCAACCCCCATTGATTAAAAATATATATGCCACTCTCTTGCCCCAACCAGTTCCTTCTATCAGTCATACTACTTGCATGGAGAGGTGGTTTTGCATAACAGCTCCTACTCAATAGTGTCACTAACATTCATCCCTGCCCTAACAAAATTCCACCTTCTCTCTCCCCACCCCCAGTAGAAACATGCACAGCAAAGCCATTTTGTGACCTCTTAAATGTTATTTTCTAAGTGAGTGCTCCCCCAATTAACATTACAAGTCTGGCGCAGCTGCCGTTTACTGAGGTTTCTCTGTAACTTCCGCTAGCAACTGTGGGTTCTTCTTTTCCTGTTCCGGAACGCATAGCTGTCTACAATTTCTTTTAAATGATGTGTAAGTCTGTTGCAGCAATACCAACAAAGAGTCTTAAATATGTACACATTTGTTATGGCATAATAAGCTTTCATGAAGCAGAGTGCAGTTCATTAGATGCAGGGAGTGTTATCTTTAACTAACAAGTATATTTACATATCAGGATGGGGAGGGAGAGAGAAATGTAAACCATGGAGTAAACAGTGAGGTCAAACGGAATTAAATACACAAGGTCTGTGACAATTCAATTAACAGCTTTTTATTAAGTGTTAATCCAGAGAATAAGATCATATATGGGTGGGAAAATTGACCCTCCAGATGTTGGCAGACTAACTCTCATCAACCCCAGCCAGCATACTCCATGGTTAAGGAATTATGGGAGCTATCGTCCAGCAACATATGTCAAGCCTGGGGAGTCTCCATCCTTCCTCTACACCAGGCATGTCCAAAATCCGTTTTGGGGGTCTAATCCACCGATTGGTTCAATCCGGCCCCTATGGCAGTTTATTTCCTGGGGTAAAACCCTTAAAAAAGCTGAACAACTTCAATCTTAAAACAAACTGAACAACTTCAATCCAAAGGGTCAACTTCAATCCTAAAAAAAGGTCAACAACGCATGTTCACTTCCATCAAATCTGGCCCTCTTTGAAAAAAGTTTGGGCACCCCTGCTCTACACTAAGAGATAAGAGTCACCAAGATAAATAAAATACCAATGAACATGATTGATTCCTCTGCCTACACTTCCTACAGTTCAACACAGGGTGAAAGGGAAACCACTAGCTAATAATATACATTTCCTTCATCTGAGGAAAATTTTTATGGTGTATGATTTTAAAGTTATGTGTTGCTTAAAGAAAAGTGAAGGGAATAGTGTTGTACTGTTAGACTGAAATCCTGTACATATTGACCAACTTAGCTGGGAATAAGGTCCATTGAGCCTAATTAGTCTTAGTTTTGAGTAGACATGCTCAGGATCTCCCATCAAGATAAAAA